TCATGTGGAGGAGTTCCATAAATTATGGCATATTCATCAACTTATCTTTTCAAGACTTAAATGCTAATTAAGGAACAATAGAGTAAGCAAGAAAAGTAATAAAAGAAAATCAAGGAAAATATATGATGTGAAATCAGAGATGTTCAATTGATTCAGTGTTTGACAATTCTGGTATAGGCAAATGATATTTTTCAAATCATTCTTGGGCTACAGGATGAGACAGAGATTAATGTTCCTTAACTTGATATTGTAGTTTTGCTGTAGTTCACCTTGATGCAAATACTGTTTACACAGTTTGACTGAGGAAACATGAACGTAAGGGGCAAGTTTTGAATACATAAATTTGTTTTTCAAACAGTGTCACTTCTTTCTGAAATCTCCATTAATGGTGTGTTCCTCAAATAGGATGCTGAACTTGCTTTCTCTTAAATAGAACACTTTCTTTGGCATAGAATCCTGCATTGATCCAAACAAACAAAGTAATTGTGTGGTTCCAAATCCTTTCAATTTATGAGACTTTTCTCTCCCTTTCACAGCTGGTTACTAAATCCTAATGCAGCTGCCACCCACACATCCCCAGCAGGCAGAATAAAACTGCCACTGGTCAGGGTTCAGGCTGCATTTGCCTCTTCGCAATTGACACAACAGTTGTGAAAACTCAACTCTGACAGAATTGGCATGTGAAGAAAATCAATGAAGGCAGAACGTCTAAGGAACAGAAGGAGAAGAGGCATGCCCAGGATGGGCAGCTTCAAGGACATGCCAGGAATCTGCTGGAAGCATTGAAATAGCTTTATAAGCAATGACAGGCCACCCCATGCTGTCATCAAGAGTGAGACAGCTCAATTTAAAACCAAGCAATCGAGGCCAGTGCTGGAATCCAGAGACTGGTCTTCCTAGGAGAAACACTAGAATCATTCTGAAAGAAACCTTGAGCTGTGACACAGCTTTGCCAAAAAGACTTACCAACCAGACTTAATTCATAATTAATTTTCTAGGACTGGCAGACAGCCCATTAGAAATCAAGGATGACCTTTCTCAGCTAGCTTAGGTTTTCATTTGAGGAGCTTTAACAAATTACATTCTGCCCTTCAATTCAGGGTGAGGAATGAAAGAGATCTGCTTTTATATAAAGAAAAAATGAAACACTTGAGATAATAGATGAGAAAAGTCAAACGGCTGCTGGCAATGAAAGAAAAATTAAAAATGACTGAACAGCAAAATCCTATAAACAAATCACTCATTAGTAAGTTAACTAGTTAAACTAAATGGTAGTGAGCTTTGGCGTGTCTAGCCTTATACGATATACTATTTCTGTGGAAAATTTAAAATAAGCTACAGATCTGTTCCTTATTTAACGGCATCTCCAAACACAGATCTCAAAAATATCTTCATCTGTCATTCTCTGAAACCAGATTTTGTTAATTTATGAACATGAATTAATTGCTTCGGTAGAAAGGAGAATTTAATCAGAAACAGTCATATTTAAGTAGATATTTCCTTAATCTATATGCCATTATTATCTGTTCTATGAATAGCCCTCATATTTTTAATTATTCATTTCAACAATTCTAAGCCTGTACTAATAGCCCATTCTTAAGTCAAGATATACTTACAGAGAATGGATGTTATAGAGTAGCCCATTCCAAGAAGGTGTTGATTTTTTTGTTGACATTTTCTTTTCAACTCATACTTTTTGAAGAAGGTAACCAAAGATTACTATCAGTCAACAACTTTTTACTCACATCATTTCCTGAAGTAGAATAAGAACAGATTTTGTAACAAAATGGAGGACCCAGGTCCACATATAGTTTCTTCCTTTATGAGGAGACTATTATGAACTAAGATCCTTAGCATATAATGTTTTTGTTTTCCTTAATATATCTTAGCACTGTGGGAGTTTCTATACTGCTACAACTACGATTTGCATATAGTGCCTAATTAACATGTATTACTTAATGATTACAGGAGTCACACTCCATCTTGCTGTATAAACTGTGAGAAGCAACGGGAAGGTGTGCATAGACAAGTATAAGCTATCAACTCAGAATGGCTATATTGCCTATATTGTGCAGTATGTAGCAAATCTCCAAAATTATAGAGGTTAAAGGATATACACATATACAGATTTATGTTAAGTTTAAAATGCATGTTAACATGTTAAGTATGTTAAATTTTAAATTAATGAAATATGTCTGAAAATGTCAAATATTTTAAATTTGAAATAACTGTGACAATTCAAAAAATATTTTATCAATTGATCAACAAGTACTTTTTATATCACCCCCTTGGGGGAAAACATAGATTTTTATTCTCAAAATATAATCTACTCAACAAATTATAAAACTTTCCCCATTGGTGCTCAGTAAAATAATATTAAATCAAATAAACACTGATATGAGAATCTTTAACTTGGGCAGTTACTGTTTTCAAAAAAAAAAAAAAAAGAAAACAACAGATGTGGATTATATACCATGTTCTCAATGTTATTCTAGGAAATTGAAAAATGAATTGAAGAAATTAGAAAAAAAGAAGCAAGCAAACAATTTCTTCCTCAAAAAGTTTGTTTTTAGAAAGATGGAATAAAAAATTACAAAAACAAGCCTCCATCTAGGGATGAAAATACTTTCAGTGAAGAATTCTGGGTTAGATGTTAAATTTCTGACTGATGGACATTCAGAAGAGATTTTGAGTGTGTGCCTGATTTAACAAATGCAAAAGCCAGGGGCAGGGACCTAACTGAAAATATGAAGGTTAGCACCTTCAGAGTGAAAATGGCTCCTACAGGCTTTACACAAGGTACGATTGCATAATATAGATACTAGTAATTAAAAACATATGTGTAAGAACTGATTCCTGGGTTACTACATTGCATAGAGATTGTCTGCAAAATGAATGTTTGATAGAAAAGGCAGCAGAGAAGCCATTCAACCGTGAAACGATCCCAAGTACAGAGCAAGCCAGAGTAAATGATAAATAATTTCAGATAAGAACAATGGCACATGCTGTTGAGAGCCAATGTGGTTATGATGGGTTGACTTTAGATTTTGATTCTGAAATGTGCCTGTCTCAGGAAAGTCCACACTGGTAATAATGTGCTGTACACATCCTTCTCATATCCTAAGACTTTAAGTACCATGTACTTAAATTAAGCTTTGTCAATTCAGTTATCCCAAAATTTCAACACCCCTTTGCTCAATGCATTTCATGTTTTGAGACTTCAATTCTAAAACAAACAAACAAAACAAAACAAAATAATAATTCTGGGATTAAAATAATGGGAATTGGTGGGCCATATGGAATTTGTATGATCTTAAAAATATCTGTATAGTAGTATTAAAGTGATAATCAGGCAAGCTACAGAAAATTTTACTTTTGATATTATAACTGCACTGTCCTAAATTCCTCTTGGAATAGAGATAAGGACAAATGTCCAGAAGGAAAAAAATCCTCATGAACTAGACTTATCTCTTGCTTTTTCACTCATTTCACTTTGTCCTTTATCCATCATTGACTAATCTTGCAAACATTTAATGAGTGAATAACTTAAGGTGGATGACAGCCTGCTACTTCCTAGTAAGTTACTTCTATAGTGTATTGCCTTTACTTTCTTAAACATTTGGAAAGATAAAAAAAAAATCTATTTTCCAATACTATGAATAATGTAGTATAAAAATGTATTAAAACATATTCATAATGAATAAAGCATTCCATGAAGAGTCTTTGGAGTTTACTATCTCTTTGGAAGATGTCATGCTATATCCAGACCAAGTAATTAAAATATCATGTCTTTGAGCTATAATGTCTCTGCTAGAATGAGGCATGACACTTGAAAATAAGATGTCCACTTGACGAGTTGTTTGCTTGACAACTCTTCCCAAAATGTAGGTTTCTCATGTGTATTCCTATCCCTAAATGACTTTTGTTTATTTATTGCTGAGCTACTTTACACCATTTTGAGTTTTTTCTTTACACCTCCAGGTATTGTTAAAATGTCATTAAGGATTGATTCAAATTTACCAGGTGCAGTAAGAGAACATTACCTCAAGTGTATGTGGCAGCCATTTTATTTTAGTGCCCCAAATTTCCATGATACAAAAATTACATGGAATATAAACAGAACTCAAACCTGGCAGAAATCTCACATGAATGAAGGAGAATATAGTAAACATGACTCAATAGACATCATGTACTCTTTCAACTCAATCTAATTATTGATACCATTGCATTTCATTTTTAGAAAATCTTACTTTTCTCCTCAGACAGACTCCAGAAATATAGGTGATGAGAACGTCTTAGCCGGACAGTGATTCTGTGAGCATTCTACCAATAACCAGTAAATATTCTCATGTAGTTATATGTGTTTGTATTTCTGGGAAAAGTAACTTCTTATTACTTCAGTGGTTTCACTAAACAGTTTAGTGTAAGAGTCAAGAATCTAGAGTAGAAGTCTAGCAGATGATTGGCATTTAAAGTATTTCTCTACTTAAAACTTGGAAAAAGGAAGAATATATTGCAGATTTCTATTTTTATTAAGACAGGTATAAGTACAGAAGAAATGAAAATTCAGAAGCACAGGGTTTCCTATTAGATTAAAGCTTGTTAGTCAGTAAAGGAAAGGGTTGATGTGATCCAAGAACAAGAGCAGCTATACATGATAACAGGCATCCACAGTCCCAGAACTTGAGAGGCAAAAGCAGGAGGATGGGCAGTGTGAATCTAATTGGAAAAAGAATCTGGAAAAGGAAGAGGAAGAAGAAGAAATAATCTATGAATTGCTAATTCTAAGCACACCTAGTCTGAGATTTGTCACAAATAACATACAATGATCTAGCAAATGTGTATCTTCATTGCTGTCCTAAATGAGATAGAGACAAAAAATTTCAAATTAGTAAATTATTAATAATAGTTAAGTGGAATCTCAAATTAATCCTCACACCATTGGTCATATTTGATTAAAAATATTTCCTAGAAAGTCAAGTCCTTCTCAGAATTGTTTTTTGGAGATAAAATTAATGTTTTTAATTAAAATATTTTCAGAATTCACATTAAAATAATTATACATATACTAAAAAATCACTGTATTATATTGTCAGAGAATACATTCTGAAAACTATAGTTTTGTTAGATCATTACAAATTGTTGGGTTACATATTTAAAGAAAATATAGGATATTATATAGTATCTGTATTAGGTTTCAGCAACAAATAAATCTCTAGATTTTTTTTAAGTGATATTTATTTTGAATTTGAGGAAACAGATTTTTTTGATAACACTCAAATGTTAAGAAATAGTCTAAGAAATCCAAACATTTAAATATATACTATAAATATATACAGTAATAAATAAAATGTTAAATGCATATGATCCAACAGTGTAAAATGCAGAATACTTTGATACCACTTTCTATTTGATTTAATTCTTATATTTTGGTTCAATTTTTGCTATAAATACATGACTAACATTCCTATACCATTAAACATTTCATTGAAAAAAATATTATTGCATTGAACTACATACAGTCCAAGAAATTTATTGAATAACCTAAAATAAGCTGCTTTGCATGTACAGTAGTGCAATTTACTTAGCCACAGTATAATCAAAATTGCTTTGAACAGAGAATACAAAGTAAAATGACTGGCTTAGACCATATTTCAGACCATCATTCAGTTTCCTTTAAATTAAGTACCATAGGATTCATAAGCTGGGACTGTACTATAGAGAGAGACACAACCAATCTACATTTCAACTATTTTAAAATCCCTCACACATTAAAGCAAATGACCATTTTACACAAGATTAGAAATCTTTTCTTGAAGTTGATTGTCTCAATATGTGATTTTTTAGAAAAAGAATACACTATAATAAACTTTGTATTTTCAACAAAGGTTAAGGTTTACAACTTGAGAATAAAGAGTATATTAAGAACATACACACAAACAAATGTACATATGCATTCACACATATTACATTTTGTTTTGACTTCCTGGCTTTTCTTGTTTGTTTCTAGCAAGGTACTCTTGATCTTGCTACTTAAGAGAGGTGGTAAATTGCAAAAATACAAAGTGACTTTGAGAAAGGAATTAAAAAAATTGAATTGGAAGTGTTTCTTCTTGTGTACAACTTCAGAGAATGAAAAATACTCCTTAGCTTATCTTGTGTATTGGCTTATTCTAAACCTAACCCATTTGGCCATTGCTCCCATTTCCAATACAAGCTTAAGCCTCCAAAGTACAATACTCATCATCAACTATACACTGAATAGAGGAGGTGTATAATATTTTTTTTTTGCTGGAATGAAATGATAACCTTTGAAAATCCTCTGACCTATGCTTCTGGCAGGAATAACTCCTATGTCAAATTTTTCATCTTACTGAAATGGTTCCTCTCTGAGTTACAAAGGGCAGCCACGCATTTCTTTGACCTCTGAATGAAGCTGATCACCAACTGCTTTTTACTAATGTGTGTTCTTAATAATGTGTCTGTTCATCAATGAGAGCACATTCTGCTTTAAGAGTCTGTCCAATTCAAGAACCTAACTTAAGCCTCTTCTTTAGCTTTGCTGAGGCAGAGAATAATTAGATCACATTCACACTTAAGTAGACTAGCTGAATAAACAGATATATGAGATATTGGTCTTTAAATTTTGGTTTTAGAAAGCTGGATCTGATATATCCAAGTTTTCCTTCAGAATATATAATAATCATCCTTAAAAATAATAGGGAATATTTTTAAGAAAAGATGTAGAGTTATACTGTAGTTTGATACTGTTTTCAATACCATCCCAGCAAAGTTCATAGAAAATTACCTCATATTTTCATCTAGAATCCTGGAATAATTGTGGTATTCCTGTCTGCAAACCATCTTGGTATTTCCAGTTACTGTTTTGAAGAACAGGTGTGTTTAGATAAAACTTCAAAGTAATATTAAAATTTTAGAAAACTGCATTGTTACTGTCCTTGTTTCTACAGAGAAAACTCATGCAAGAAGACAGTGAGGGCTTGCAATATGATCCTGAGTAATCTGAGGATTAAAAACTCCATCTAGTGAGAAACTTTTTAGGAAAAGTTCTTTTAAATGTGCCTCTACCCCGTGATAACAGAGATTCCATGGAGACCTGACAGAGACGGAGAAAGGTAGGCACCATCAAATCCATTTACTGAGAGGAAGACATTTCAGATCATTCTGGAAAATGTCTTCCTACAGGGTGATGGGGGATCAAAGCCTCAGGATTAGGAACTTTGTAAATCACTCTCCATTGTGTAATCACCTCTTGTATTTCATTGTTTATAACATGTGTAAAGGTGGACTTAGAACTCAGGGTAGAGGTGTTATAGCCCCCATTAATGCAATTTTTCTTGAAGAATTGGACAGTGATTAAGAAAATGAACTTTATTCATTTACCAGTTCATCACACAAATTGCTTATTTTCTTGAATCATGCCGGAATTCATTGAGGCCATATGAAAGTGGAATGACTCTGAATCTTTAAGGATAAAATATATAGACATATTTGTGTGTTCATGTATTCATATGTGAACATATGTATAAATATTTTACAGCCTTTTTCTACAGTATTTACCTTTAATTTATCTTGGTTCTTGAACAGATACAAGAAAAAAGCCCAATGACTGAGTGTAAAGAGTGAACTCACAAAAATCTTATCTCATAAATTTAACATTTATTAGAAAATTACTCAAATTGATTAACAAATAATTTGATGGATGTGATACTCAAAGAATGATCCATAAGAGTGTGTTCTAATGGCTCTAATTTAGAATTCAGAATATGGTTAGACTTCTTTTTGCTTTAGTTTTTCAAGGATGCATTCCTCCAAAAGGAGATGGAAACAGAAATCTGGTGTGACTGCTGACCTCATTATACTTTCCCTGATATGATGCCACAGGCTTTATAACTTGTCACCTTGAAGTACCAGTTATTTTTGTTTAAGTGACAACACCTTCCTTCTGTTGTATGAGGTGGCCTAGCCACTGAGCACTTCCATCATTTCTAGTGCAGGATGGAACAGTCATTTCCAAACTACCCACTTACACCGACCTAAGTACCCAGTAGAAAAGTCCCCTGGTTTAGCCATCTGAGATTCTGCATTGTCCCCAAGACAACTTAAGAATTAGTTGAGTGCTCTGTATTTTCTGTCATAAGACTTCTAGTGACTTTCGAGTTTACTCTGTCTTGGTTTTGTGCCATCTTTATAATCTGTTTGAGCAACTAATTTTCCACAATATATTTTGATCTTTTGGGCAAGTTATTATCTATCTTTCTAATAGGATTTCCATTATTTTTCTTTTTAAGAAGATTTACCCAAAAGGCACTACCTTTAATAGTTACTTTTGTGGAAATATATGCAAGTATAGAGCTTCTTGCTGTTTGATAAATGTCTATATTTCTTTTTTCTATTCATTTTAAATAGGCCAGGCTCTTCCCCTTTCTTATTCCAATAAAAGGTCCCATAAACAAATGTTTGGTGTTACATTGGTAAGTACATTTGTTCTTCATGTCAATATTTGAAATATATTCATTTTCTCTTTCTCTCCCTTCTTTTTATGTCTTCGGCTGCAAAGATTTCTACCATATATGAAGAAGCAGTTATTTAGTTTTCAACTGTATTGATGACATGAAGAATGATAATATTATGAAGAATAAGAAAAAATGGGCTAGAAGTGCTTCACCTGCCTGAAGTGAAATGCATGTATGTATTCAGGGAATGTAGATGCCTTTCTCCAGGTCTGAGTAAGAGATGCTCTTTTTTCCCGTGTGCCAAAGGTTACATCTTCACATCATTATCAGGTAGAGTCCACCTCCTGCCCTGTGAGTTTTATTTTTAGAAACCCATAGTTAAAGCAGATGTAAGTGATAGTTTTATAATTATAAGGATATTAAATTATACACCAAATAGATGACAGTTTACAAGTAATGCAAGAAGCAAAACTTCTATGGGCTAGGAACTCTTTTCAATAAATATTTGAAATTAAATAGGTGATAACTTGACTTACCCTCATAAAATTTATCCTTTCTGAGCCTCATGCTTTTTATTTCTGAACACAATGAAGTTTCTGAGTAGTAAAGAAAACTTAATGTTTTAGTGCTTATAATGTTTGAAAGAATTATTAATATGTATAAAATGTTATTATATGGATATTTTACTTTGTATTATCAAATACTAATAGTATCTTTTGTATGCTTTCTAATACAAAATTGAAATATTCTCAATTCCTGATGCTATTTATTCATACAGGCAATCTTGATACAGTAATATATAAAGTGAAGCAAAATGATCTTTCACAGAATTTCAGCAGCTGTAAAGTTACTTTGTGTAGTTGTTTTCTGCTTGTGTTAATCAGAATATCTCTTAGGCTCTATGAAAATATGTCAAAAGAAATTATTCTTAGTCAATGGTTCATTTTACTGACATTTTAATATTACCTGACAAATGAAACTGAAATTCACATTCATTACCACTCACTCATCAAATACTTCAATCATAGGGTCTTCTCTTGCTTCTTCATATTGGCGATGTGCCAGACTGTTTTCTTTTACCAGTTTTAGCATTAGTTGACAACTTATCTCAAAACACTCTTTAATACTTCCTAACATTTTCTTCCATCAGATCATTTTAATTTGCTCTAATTTTTTTCCCGGAACAAGTTCTTAAATGCTCCCATTTCTATTATGACAATTCCGTTTGTATTTATATATGAGTTACATTTGGACTTGGCACCATTATTTTAAACCTTATAGTAATGGGAGAGATGATATTAATGCATTGTTCTGTAGGTTGTGACAATTTGCATTATTTATTCATAAGATGAGTTGTAATAACTATTAGTTCAAGTGTACTGACATATTTAAGGCCTCTTTCATACTATTTAACTGTTGCATCTGGCTGGAGCAAGAGTGATGGAAAAGATCTTGACCTTGTAGCACTGGTTGGATTAAAGGATTCAAGTGGAAAATAGAAGTTGTGGCTGGATTTAAATGAGGACCAAACAATGTGGGGATAAACGCTGCAGGAGGCAGTGCCTGAAAAGCCATATGTGATGGGTGGAAGGGGGCCGCAGTCACTAAATGCAGGGGATGTCCTAGCAAAGTAGGGTGTGCAGGGATAATGGTTGGAGCCATGGTTGAAAATGAAAAAGGAGTCAAATGTGGCTGTGGCAGTGGGTGCAGATGAGCGATAGGGAGGGGACTGCTGTGGGAGCTTATGGAAGCAGAAACAGCGAAATGCTGCAGAAATGTGTGGTGGATGGTGGTAATGGATGTGTGCTGGTGAACCAGACCTGGCTGCGCAGCTGAGGGCGGAGAGAAGGCAGTGGGCCCTGCAGCAGGCAACACGCGGAGATGCTTCGACAGAAGCTGCTTCTGCATGTGCTGCTGGGCTTGCAGCTGGAGGAGCTTGTACTTATCTATTTCATCGGGAGAAAATGTTATGGGCTGTTGAATTAAAGGGGGAGAGAGAGATTTATGACACATTTCTAATTCATCTTCCACTTTGTCATGGTTCTGCATAGTTCTGTCATAGTAAGAGTTTATATTCCCCTCTACGTGATTCATAGACATGCTTACATCTTGTAAGTCTAGATTTATCTGGTCCTCTTTGGTCTCTGTTGAATCAGTTACACCAGTATATCTATTAGATGGAAAAGCACCAAGGAAATCATTTGGTACTGGGTCACAGCTTCCATGAAAAGGCTGGACTTCACTAATTGAAGATTTAGATTGCTCTTTTGTTGTCTGGTTCTTATTTCTGCTTAAAGGCTGGGAATTCATTGCTGCACGCTTTATGCCTTTGGAGAGATAATTATCACATTCAGTGTCTGGTAAAACAATAAAATTATTTTTTTGTGAGCTTTTGATTTTGTCTTTGTCAGAAGTCTTATGAATTACGATGCCTTTATCATTTCTCCTTTTGCCCATCTGTTGTCTCTTCTCTGAAAAAGGCAATGATGTTCTGTTACAGCTTGGTGGTCCAGGTTGAATTGTGTGTTGGATTTGTGAATGAGCCTCTGATTCTCTTAAACCACTGTTTGAAGAGAAGTCAAACTTCGTTGATTGCTCCTGACACTCCTTGGCTTTCACTCTTTCTAAAAGACCCTTGGCTGTCAGGGAAGGCCCTTCTCCATCTGGAATGTGTGACTGCGTGGTTTCTGAAGGGCCACCTACACAGCCCCTGAGAAGGTAATTGAGAGTGCTGGGGTTGCATTGTCTGCACTTGACTTTTCCCACATCACAAATGTGAAGGCTGGCAAAAGACTTTTGGCTTCTCTTGTTTTTATTTAAGCAGTAACCTCTCTGTCTCAAATACGAGCCTGATTTGCTGTGCTGAGGTCCTGGGCCATTAAAGGGCTTTTCACTATTTCTATCAAGGGAAACCTGTGAACTGGAATCACAATGGAAAATTCTTGTGGGTTTGGGCCCCGCAAATTGATGAGTTTTACCCAGTTTATATCTTTCTCTGCAATGACAGTTTCTGTGTTTTGACTGTTTTTTAGTTTTAAGTGAGTCCCGCAGTTTGCCATTCCCGTCTTTCTGGGTTTCTGACTGAGGACAGTTAGTGCTTACTGGCACGTCAGACAAGCAGAGGCAATTGTGCTTTCTGTGTTTCCACATGTGCCTTTCGACTGAGGCACACTCTGTCTTGCAAACATAGAGCAAACGACGGCTCCCACTGCTCCTGGACCGATGATTTGAACACATGTTTCTCCAGCTGGACATGTTTCTGGGAGAGTCTTCCCTTGTTCTGGGATGGTCACCCAGAGGTGGCTTTGGAGAACATCTGTCATAACTCGGTCTCCCACTCGTAGAAGCCCTGCTGGCCATGCTAACGTTGCAGCTATTTAAACTCTCACTGAGCCCCTTCGCATGTTCACTGTGACCCTCTGATGTATAAAGACTAAAATTCCAAGTATCTTGGTTTTCTCCTTCAAACTCTGCATGTGGACTGCAGGGATTCAGTTTATGCTTTTTAGTCCTAGAGATCTGAAGAGAGCATGGGAGACCCTCCTGAGCGTTATTTAGAATGGCCCTTTTGCAGCTTCGGCAGTGGATGTTTGAAGGTTCCTCCAATTCAATGTCATCAACATTATCTTTTCTTATGCCATCCTTTAGAGACAGATTAAAGCAAGCAGGCACTTCAGGACTTTTCATTTCCAAGTCTCGTAGACTATCATGTTCACTTGTACTAGAATCAGAATCATTGTGGCCCAAATTGTATTGTCTCTGGAACTTTTCCCAATCTGGGTTAGCTATAATCATCTTTGGCTTCAGAGATTGATTACCTTGGGTCGTTTTTTGTTGTTCTTTAATTAAACCTGAGACTTGGCTCTCTGTTTTTGGCTTCATTTCCAAAGCCTCTTTCTCCATTTCTGTTTTTACATTCTCTGAATTATGTTCATCCTTTGTGTTTCGAGAAAGTTTGAAATCAAAATATAATGGATTACAGCCATAGGATATGCAAGGTTCTGTTCTGGTAAAGAACAGAAGTTCTGTAGGCCACTGTAGAGTGGTGTGGCCATCCTTGCTCTGTACATGAAGGAAAGGCAATGATTTGGATTTTAGATCATGTGGACAATGTTCTCTGCAGTGCCTTTGCACGTTGTTGCTAACTCTTTCTGATTCGTCTAAAGACTTTGCTCGGTCTTCCATTCTGGAGTTAGAATTCAGATGTGCCCTCATCTTTTGTTCACTTGGCCCTGAAGGCAAAAACTCATCCAGACTTCCACACCAACTGTTATCACCGTGCTTGCAAATGTGTACTGGACTGGAGGATTCATTTGCTTGGCATGGGTGATTAATGCAATTTTCTGAAGTATCCTTCAGTGCATTCCCGATTTCTTTCTCTCTGCTGGAAAGAGTAAAATCTTTTTCTGAAAGATGGAGGTTAGGGTTAGAGAAAGAAGCATGAATGCCTGATGAATCTTTCAGCCTCTCATTAAGATATTCATTTTTGTTTTGTGACACTTTAGAGTTCATCGAGAAGGTGTTGTTTAAAACACCTTCCAGATGGCTGGGTGAGATGACACCTTCTTCCTTAGTAAGGTGTGGATCCTCATTTGCAAACCTGCAACACATGCATTTCTCTACTCTTTGTTTGACTTTAAAGGTGGGCGACTTGTTACAATCATGGGTGTCCTCTGTGTTCTCGCTGAAAACTGAGGCTGAGGATTCTAATTTTAGATAGGCTTTTTTTGAAAATGAAAATGAAACTCCTGTCCTGTGGTTTGCATTGCTGAGATCGGAAGATGTTTGTGTAATCCTGTTTCCAAACAGGAACCGCCTGTCTGGCTGTAGCTGTTGACGGTGTGGTGTGGGGAATCGCTGCTTGTCCAGAGTGCTTCTGGGGAGGTTCTTTCCCTTGAGAAGGAGGGCGCTCTTCATGCAGGAGACCTTTCTGCCATTCTTAACCTGGAAAATTCCCTGCTGGAGCTGCTTTTCCATTGCTATCCTGGGGGCTTTGTATGCTGGTCCATTTCCAGAAACACTGTAAATATAGTGAATATTTAAATGAGTAGGACATTAGCATTGGAATCAAATCTATATGCAAACAACATTCCATAGTATTTCTACAATGATTTGCTTTAATATTTATTGGTGAACGTTATTTTCTACAAAATCACCCTTTTATCATGCACATACAAGTCAGTATAACTGTTGTATGGCTATACTGAAATGCTCTGTTTAATTCTGTTATGTAGAAATGTAAAAAGCAATAACAAGTAACTATCTTATTTGAAAGCTACAAAACAAAGTAAAATAGAGCATTTACATCACAATATATTCCTCAGAACCTATGATCTTTAGAAATGCAGATTTAATATGTTTCATACTCTTCTAACCAGTACTTTCATGTTCGATAAGAAATTAAAATTTGCAAAGTGTAAAAATAGTTTCATTTGATTTTTCGGCATCTTCAGCACTCAATATTTAACCCTTCAACATCAAAAGTCCTTCCTGTTTACTTCTGTTGGAGCAGGGTGCTTAGTCATTACTCTTGTCAGCAGCTAGCTAATGAGTGCAGCAGCAGCAAGAAGCTGATGTGTTTCAAGCAGGCTCAGTGTTCCCAGGGATTTTCCTGTAGCTTCCCTTGCTTCTTACTCACAAGAACAACTTTATGCCAACTGTGCATTCTCCGTCTTTTGAGGTTTTTCGAGATTGTTGATTTTGCTGAAGTTCATTAATGATTTAAACAGAAAGCAGAAAATAAACATACATAGACAGGAACTTTGAGGTTAAAATTAGTCTTTTCACACCCTATCTGCTACCTCTTCCCTACAGTAATGCTGATGCTGACTGAGGAAAAGCAGCTACTACATCACTTTTCCAACAGCTTATTTGAAATGCCATTCTGTTGCTTTTCCCATGTGTCTGGACAGACATCTAACTTGTGTTGTCTATCTTAGAAATGCAGATTTAATATGTTTCATAGTCTTCTATGAAACTTCATTATTACTCATCATTTGTTTCTTGGCTATAAAATATTAAAACTTACACCCTTAAAACATATCATTTAAATTCTGAAGGACCGTGTTTTCAATAACTATCCTTATACCCACACAAAAATGTAGTTCTCAGTCTTCCTCAAAGAATCTTCTTTTTGTAACAGATGGAGATGATTACGGAAATTCATACCTGGTCAAAATTCAGAAAATAAGTGGCCCTGGGGTACTGAGCTCAATTTGATACACCCACAACCCAACACTCAGGGAATATCACAGAAGAGGGGGTATAGGTTGCAAGAGCCAGAGGATCAGGGCACGTGCTGTGGGATAGTGTCCTCTAGACATGATAGAGAAACTGTTTCCATGAAATCTCAACACTATGGCTGCATAAATAAGTCCTGTATAATGACAGCAGTTGACATGCCAACATGAATGGAGAAAATTTCACAAGACTCCACCTTAGGTAAAGAGATACAGGCAATCACTGACTTCTGAAAAGGGGAGAATCCATTTTCTGAAAGGAAAACTCCCCTGATGTGTTATCCAATCCCAGGTCATCAGCTCTAAACATAAGTATACAGGAACAACATGTAATGGACTCAGGACGAATGTTGGTACTCTACTGCTTGTAATCTCTTGCTTTAGTTGAAGGATAATTTTTGGTATCCAAAGTTTGCCTTACCCACACCATTGCATCTTTACAATACTACAACCTGTTATTTTATCTGCCCTTATGAATTTTATCTTACAAAATATAATTTTAGCCATTATTTATTTCACTATTATTTGAGATTATCTGTTCTCATCAGCGGCCGGGTAAAGCTTTATAATGATGGTATATTCCATTATTGTATGGAAATCAAATTTAAAAATTTTATAAAACAGCGACTTTTCCTTAATTGTTTCATAGTGAGGATTATGTATCCCCCCTCTCTGTTACAATAATCTTTTTGCTTTGATAATTTCACCATGCTTTTCCAAAAGGTTCATTTAATGTCACTAATGGAGAGAAGTATTCAAAGACAACATGTGGGCTATTGAATGCTATTTCAACCCAAACAAAAAGACCAAAAAGGTTTATTGAAGTTTTATTGGAACCTGGATGGAAAAGGACAAGGAATGACAAAATTGTGACTCTCAATTTTGTTTTCGTGACAAGCAGATATCTCTCCACATTTGTGACATTTTTTGGATTAAGCACTATCTATGCTACCTAATTGATAAGTTTGCTTCTTCTGAAAATCAGTCAATTTTCTATTATTGGTATTATACTCAACAGAAAGTATTCAAATTCTCATGGGAGAATATTAACATTTCTTCTTCCAAATTGCAATCAAATATGGATATTTACTATTTCTAAATTATGTTTCATTTAATTTTAAAATAAAAATATAGTTAGTTATTTGAGTATGTGAGTAAATGTATGTGGGTGAATATACCATGGTGCACATGGGGATGTCAAATAGATATACGCATATAATATGAAATTGTTAGTATAATAAAACTCATTGACATATTTACCACAACACATAATTACCTATGTGTGTGTGTGTGTTAAAAACAACTTAATATTGTATATCTTAGCAAATTTCTAGTACAGACTACAATAATTATTACTATGTATAGTCTCCAGGCTCTACATCAGATCTCAAGAATGTATATGAATATGCATTGACTTTCCATTTCCCTAGCCCCTCATCCCTATCAGTGAATGCTCCTACTTCTGTAATTTTTCATAGTTAACACATTTGTTCTTTCATTTTCTTCTTTGAAATTATTTCTAGTTTCAGTGATTTTAAAATAATTATTTTTATTTGTAATACCCAGTAAGAAAGCGACTATAGAATTAACCATTTAACTCTTACTATTGTATTTTCATCCCAATATTGTCCTCGATTTCTAACACAAAGTAACTTCATAAATATACAATTTGTCTCCTATGGGGGAAAACATACTTTTCAAACAGAAAAAAAAATGTGCCAAAACAAAATGAGTGTGTGTGTGTGTGTGTGTGTGTGTGTGTGTGTGTGTGTGTGTGTGTGTGTTGCATTCTGGTTCTTATATGGTGAGTTTCTGTTTTCAGAATCAACATCACTAACATTTCTCAAATGTTGCAAAATCATCCATAAGTTGTACTGAACTTAGGTTTTTACGTAGAAGTTTCTGTTTGGAAAGTGAGCACCTCCCAATGCAATAGATGCTTTCACTGGAGACCCCAGTTGAGGGAATCTGTCCAAGAGAAGATGGAAGCAGGCTGTCTGTGTGAAACTTATAGCCAGTTTCTGCCAATATTTGTTTATCTATTGGATCCAAGTCTTCTGATTACTGCTAATTCACCTTTCTTTTCCACACGAAGAATCATGTGATTTGGATCATTCTCCACAGAGAGAATCAGTTTCTACAGGGTTAATTGTATGATGCTGGAAGTCAGATGTGAGTAAACAGGGCAAGACACAGCACAGAAAGAAACACAAAATACTCATGAAAGGCCTGCATACCAGGGTCAGATTTTCCAGGCTTCTCAGGAAATGTGAGTGAGGCTAACAGACCAAAGGCACATTGTCCAGGAAAGAGGCCATGATATTCTTTAGTGGTCATTTCATTTTTAATTTTCATGCCTCACTCCTGCTTCAACAACGAAAATATTTTATAACTCTAAGTGACTTCTGTTAGGGCATTAGGCTGTGATGCAAATAGAGCAGTTGGGGAGTAATAAAAAGGAAGAAACAATCTTCATGATTTGAAATTGTGTGTTCAGAAAGCTGAACACATATCTTTTCCAGTAGGACACATTCAGGCCTACAGAGTGGTTACATTAGAGTGTGTTTGATACATCAGGTTTCCTGATAGATAAGCTAACTTAATAGAGTGGACATTTTTATCTGGAAGACCTTACCAGGTAACCACAGCAACTAAGAAATTTAACAACAGGGTCATCATCATTACTACTGCATCATCTGTGAGACCATCATGCCCTCACTGCCACCATCATCAACATTCCTCTGATCCTTTCCATCGGGGGAAGGATGTGGATGTGTAGTTACTTTCACAGTAAAGACAATGATGACGACAATGCTTGTGAGGGCAACTCAGATTTGCTGCTGAACAAGGCAAATCTGGTCTGGCCTGTGAAGACTGTTTTCGAGGATTTTTTTTTCTTCCCCATTTATTATTATTTAATTTACTGTGTCCTGTAACTAATCATGCAGAAACTGAAATGTGATCTAAATGTTTTCCTGTATGTTACACTAATGAACACAGGAGTTAGTGTTCTAAGCCCAATTTCAGCAGATCTGATTTGTTATTAATACTAATTCATTACTGTGTTCAAATAACATGAGTTCCTCATTTTATAGACTGGTAGAAAGATCAGTGCCCAATACAGTGTCTACTTTTCTTATTGTGTGGGCCCTCCCAGGAAAATCTCTTTACATTAATCTAATCTCTGTACACATGTAGTATAGTACCTTTAATTCACTTTTATCTTACATTTTTAGAATTTTAATATTATCATATATTTGATGTTAATAAACACATTCTAAACATTGCATACATGCAAATATTGTAAAATTGTTACTGCCACCATTTCCATGAATAATTGGCCAACAATCATAAGTATTTCCTAATGATAATATTTCAAGTCTAATATTTTATGATAATATAACTGAACCATTCACTCTTATTATTTTATATTGTTTTCCATTTAAACAATAGGACTTTAAATTCTGGCAGAGCTATAAATTCATAATTCACCAGGTTGCCGTCAACCATATTAATTAGTTATGTTACTGTTACACATTATGTTTCATATTAGCACAATTCACAATCTGCAAAGTTAATTGCATTCCAGGTAACAACTTTGCATCATTCAGTGGCTGCAAGCTTTTTTAAAATTGTCAATTTTCAGTTACAAGTATGTATTAGTGTAATGCTTGTTATGGTATAATTATCAATTAAAATGACACTGTGAGGTAAATTTAACCACATTAATTATATTTTGTTTGTCTGCCAGACAATGTTAGTGTCATTTATTGTAGAATCAAGTGTGAACAAGGGAATATACAGTACATGTATTTTCCACCCCAAAGCTACATTGTTATTTATAGTTTAAAAACTATCATTGTAGATGCTTGAAGCAGAGTAGTGTTTGCCAGACATGACATCAAAGTTTCAAATATGAATACACATCAGCTGGAACTGTACACAGAGTGTTTACACAAGATCAAGGCAGCCGAATTCCCAAGCTGGACTGGGGAGGGGCTCATGAGGCCCCATCCCTATCTGAGGAGCTATTGGTAATCGATGGCTGCTGGAAAACAGAGAGTCAGTTTTCTTCAGGGATGTGGGTCCTATGAAAATACCCATCCTTGATCTGTTAGATGAAAAAATGACCCCACGTGCATGTACACACAGGGAGCACTATAAAGTATTTAAATGTAGATGTGTATATATAGGGGGAACATACGAACTTGGTAAGGAAAAGTGTGAACAGAGGAGTTGGGGAGGGAGAAAATGGAGGTTGGATTTGATCCAACATATTGTACTTTAAACATTAAACATATTATATGCATGTATGAACATTAAATAAAATATTTTAAGAGCTATCATTATAAAACAAATTACTGTGGAATTATGTCAGAACAAGTCAAGCTAGAACAGATGACAGTTTATTAGAATTGTTCCCTGGATCGCTTCATTAAACAGGGTAATAAGTTAACAACATCAGGAAGAAAAAAAAATCAAATGACAAAATTACTAATTTACAAACCATTAACAATTAAAAGTTTGCCTTCAGGCATATTTGTTGATTAATGTTAATTTTATATTGTTGTGGGGAACCAAGTAGATTCATTATTGAAATTCCCCAGGACACGGGAAAAGTGTGGACCACCCAATCCCCTCTACTTCTTACCACTCAGATTGCTGCCGCAGTTCGGCCAGCTGATGGAGTCGCTTAAGTGCTTTTTCTTGTTTCTTCTCATCTTTCCATGACTTGGAAGCCACGTTTCGAGCAAATTCTCGTTGCTTTAATTCCTTCAATCTCTATAGAAAAGAATCAAGCAGAAAGGAAACTATAAATAAGTAAAACATGCTTTTCTGTCTACAGAGCCTTAATTAAACATGGTCCTGAATACAAAGGTGTCTTTTGGGATATGGAGAGAAAAAGCATTTCCTCCAGTGTTTTTCTCTGCTCCAAGATAAATGTAGTAGATACATGCAGTTGTTGACTAGGCTGTTCCTCAAAGCTTGTCAAAGTCAATCCCAGAGTGTGCTGGAAAGCTGGGACCTGGTCCTTGGTAGAATCACCCTGACTGCACAGCTGACTCATTTGTGTCTGTGAGAATGAAAAAAATGAATTCATGTGCTATCGGCAAAGAGAGAGAAGGCCAGAGCTTACACATTCCTACCTAGATCCTCCCCATAAAGATGATGCTGATTCAATAAACTGAGTGGAATGAATTTCTCTCAGTAAATTGCTTCTATTACCAAATCTAGGTCTATGTGGGATTTTAAACCATTTTTAGTTGGCAGAGCGAGATGCAAAGAAATGGTTAGGAATTTAAACTCAGAATAGTAGTTTGGCCTTATTCATTTAAATTAACTTGAAACACTTTTAATGATTATTCTCTAAAACAATTGGTTTATAGGCACATTTTTATTGCCTGTTTGGATCTTTCCTTCAGAAACTGCCGCACAGCACACCTACCAACATTGTATGTATTGAGAAACAGACAACATCAAACTAGCATCGTGAAGCTTGGGGCTTAATGCTCAATTGGAAGGTACTGGAAGATTAGCCTTTCTTAACTCTCACAAGATGTTAAATAGTTTAAAATCTGTGTCCACTTTTAATTTTTCATATCAGGTATAAGATCCTCCTGAGTTAAGGAAAAATCTACAAACTATCATTAATCTGGTAGCAGAGTATTTCCTACACATAACGCAAAGCCCAAAATCTTTAATGATCATTAGCTTCATTCTCGAAAAGAACATTGTCATAGAAGATAGTGGCCAGGCAACCATATCTAAAATGGATACCTAAAGGAGGTAGACCAGCCTTTTTAAAGGAGAATATTCTGAGTACAAAGAACAAAAGAACATAGAACTGGCAATGGGCACAGGGAATACAATATTCAATCTGAATTCAATTTTAATAAATGCTTTGGATATTTCTAAGCAAAAAAAGAAAAAATAAGAGAAAAGAAAAGGCCCCAAGAATTAAAGTATGCCTTCCCCTGCACCCAGAAAACAAAACAAAAAACAACAACAAAAAGATCAATAGTTCCCAAGTACAGCTAAACATCAGGGTGTGACCATGAAGGAGATGACAGCCTGTATCTGATATTTATACTTCCTCCAACCCCACATGCTTTATAATAACTCTAGGATTACAGTGAATACTTACCTGATGAGAAAACACTCTTGGAAATTATTTTGCATATTTTAAGAGGATACATAAGTTTCACTTTAACTATGTTGAAGAAAGGAGCTGGCTTTCTTTGGTGAAGATGGCATTTTTACTCTTGGTTCATAGATGTAATAAAAAAATCCTCCATATTTATTTAATATTTGGTATTACCAGCACATAAAAGTTTTATAATTGTGGAAGTTGATTCATTTATTTATATTTGATCACTTAAGATTAGAATATTATTTGGAACTTTGGTATATATTTGTTTTTTCCATTAGTTCCAAGATTCTGGGATACTTCTATTTCTTAATTAGAAAAACTTTCATATTTTCTTTCATTCAGTCTCATCTTTCAATAAATAAATGCTATAAGCTGCTCTTATGGAGTACAAATTATACAAACCAATTATTTTCCCTTCCACAAAGACAAATAATTGAACCCATATTACTCACAAGAAAATGCTCTGTCCCTTCATTTTAAATAGCACACAAAACACACTTTGGAAGTCTACAAAAATAATTAAGATAGTTCTTTTGTTATGGAAATCATAAAAGTGAAATATTTTTGTAGGAACAAAGAAACCTGGAAACATAAATTTTGTATAACATCTAGCCAAATTTATCTCAGCCAGTTGGTAGTGCTCAAGCTTATACAGAGAAAGGAAAGAAGGAAGGGAGGGAAGAAGGAAGTAACCATGTAAAGAATTAAAGGAAATAAATACTACCGTCCACATAAGGTCTCAATTCATTCAGGTTCTCACCAAGAGAACTGAGATAATATATGATGGGTTGAGTAAAGAACTCAGGAAACTCATCATCAGTAGAGTAATTAGCTCTGTTGAGTACTACATTGGATTTACCTAATACATGATAAAAGCAAGGAATAAAAGAATAGTGGATTACAATCTATTTACCTGAATGATAGGCAGTTATAAAACAAGCAAACAAACAACAACAAAAAACTAAACAAACAAAAATCCTAAAATAATATATGAAATAAGAGGTGTAACTAACACCAAAGACCTTTTGAAAAAAGTCCTAAGAAAACCTACTATTGTAAAAGCTTCCTAAAGCTTTTATATATTAAATGGACTTACTCATTAATAGAGCAGGGGCACAATGCTCTCACTAGATATCACAGGCAGGCAAATAAAAAGCCCAGGGGCAAGAGTGGGTTACCTCTTTGGGAGTTGTTGGTCAGCAGGGCCCCATTTACTCCCACAAATTACAGTCTATTGCTGTTTTTCCTGGTTACCATCTAGAACGTGACAAGAAAAGTCTACTGCTGAAGATACCACAACTTGAATCATAGAATATAGAGAAGTAAAGCTGGTACTGGCCTAGAAGTTCCTACTGCCTAGCTTTCATAATTCTAAAAGGCGATACGAACACTCCCAATAAGAATAAACACCTGTCTTATCCTGCTGTGAAATCTTTAACTATGATGATGATTGGCATGGCAAGATATACCCACTGATGCAAAGGTGGGAAAAATGTTATGGAAGTAAACAAACACTTTCTGATTGAATTTAAGATCAGCTCTGCAAGATGGAATCTATGCTACATAACATCTTTACTGAGGCCAAGAACCTATGGCTAGATAGATAGGCCCTAAGAAAAATTTACTATTATTCTGCTAAATAGACACAGTATTAAACTACCTTCTAATGATTTATTGCTATAGACATATACTAGTTCACTTGTCAACCTTCATCAAGAACTCTCCTTTTAACAAATACTTGTTAACACAGAGATCCACATTTGTCAAGGTGCAGAAAATAAGAAGGGAACATATATATCATAACCTTACCTTCAAAGTTTAGTGATCATCACAGAGAGGGGAAGAAATTATCATAAGATCCAGAGGCAATGGCTGATAACAACCAAATGTGTTTTATGGACATGACAAGATAGTTGCAAATATGAATTCACAGAGGTTATGATAGCGTACCCAAGACCTGGACAAGCTTAAGCCAGATAAAATCCCAGCATGGAGATGTGAGGTAGATATGAAGTTTCAACACTAGCCAAAAAGCTATTGACATTGATAGTTACTGGCAAAGGGACAGCCAGTTTAGTTTAGGGGCCTGATACACACAGGGAGTCTGTACTCTTATGGAAGGCCCTAACACCAGAAGAATTGTGAAATCATAGATTAAGCTTGATCACCTTTTTTTAATTAAAGAAAATATTAAGTAATGGATAGGAAATTTGGTGACTGAGGTTAATATGTAAAAAAAAAATCACTGTATGAAACTCTCAAAGAATTAATAAAATATTAAAAAGGATTGCAATGAATTGTTTTTAAATTTTCAGGGTAATATTAAGATAGGACTCTATATAAAAAGAAATACCTCTTTATAAATAGTTAAATATAAATATAGTCAGACATGCAAAGCTGAAAGAATTCATTACTTTTAGACACAAATAAGAAGTGGTAACAGGTATCTTGAAGTAAAGATGAAAATGATATCAGAAACATTTACTCCTAAGAACAAACTGGAAAAGATCTGTGGCAATATTTAATATCCTTGTGATGCTTTCTATTATTACACTGTTAGGTTTTGATGTTTACAGAAATTGTATAAATAAAATGAGAAGCAATGGCATTGAGTCTGGGAAGAGTGAAATTTCAATGTACTGTTGAAATTTTTCTTCCTTATGTATGAAGCAATATATTACCAATCAAAAGCAGACTGTTAAGTTAAAGAAATGCACTATAAATTACATAACATCTATTAAACTGATTAATTGTTTTTATGCAATTGACACAAAGGAGATATAAAGGAATGATTAATTTTTTAATCCAAAAAAAGAAAAATAATAAAAGTGAAAGCATAACAAATGGAACTCTAAAAGAAATCATAAGATAACTAGAATTCAAATGTATCAATAATTAAGCATCCTAAACAGCAAAATGAAAAGGAATTGAGTATCAATAAAAGAGTGAGATCTTATAGACAACAGAACATTATTCATTCACAAAGAGAATGACATTTCAGCCACACAGATGGAGAACAATGAGCAATGGGAAATAAACCTGGCAAACAAAGGCAAATTCTCTTCAATATCACTCATATGCAGAATATAAAATAGTCAATGTCCTAGAAGTTGAATAAAGAATGATGGTTATCAGAGTCTGGGAAGAGTTGATGTGGTAGTTGAAATAAAAATGGCTCCCATAGGCTCATGTATTTGAATGCTTAGTCATGAGTGTGTGGCACTATTTAGACAGATAAGTAGGGGTGAACTTATTGGGGTATGTGAGGTCTTGTTGGAGGAAGTTTGTGACTGGGGATGGGCTTTGAGATTTTAGAAGACTAAGCCTGGCCCAGTGGCTCTCTTTCCTGGCTGCTTGTGGATCCAGATGTAGAACTCTTTACTACTTCTCCAGTGCCATGTCCACCATGTGCCTGGCCATGATGAAAATAGAGTAACCTCAGAAACTGTATGCAAGCCCCAATTAAATGTTTTTTTGTTATAATAGTTGCTATGCTCATGAGTGTTTCTTCTCAGCAATAAAACTCTGATGTCTTAGGGTTTCTGTTGCTGTGAAGAGACACTGGAACCACAGCAACTGTTATAAAGGAAAACATTTAATTGCTTAGAGTTTGGAGGTTTAGTCCATTATC